CTATCCTAAATTTCCAGGGTACGCGACGCGATAGTCACGGTATGTGACTATACCATGTGACTTTTACCAGGCTAACAACCTCTAGAAACTTTAGCATACCACATTGGTCCTGTCCATCTAAAGTGTCTCTCTGCTACTAGTTCTCTGTTTTTATCTTTCTTCTGAGGTAGAAACGATATATGACAATGTAATAACCGATTTATGAATAAACACAGACTAAGAGTATTGTCTCACCTTAAAAAAAAAAAAAAAAAAAAGAACTGATATCGAAGTGGTATTGTTAGGAGCCCTATTTGGGAGTCTTGCTTATTTTTTGATTACATGAAAGAAAGCCTATGGCAGTTTTCTTTTCTTTTGTTCTCTTGTACCCCTTCTTTCTTTTATTATATCACAAAATTCATTTACATTAATATTATTACACTTGTTAAATTAAACACTTTTTCAAAAACACATTCAAACAAAGTTGTTGGGTTTATTGTTTGTTTCAATACAACCTTCACATATAATTTTATTATGATACTATTTATTGTATTATTTCAAAATTTTCAAAAAATCAAAATCAGTTTACTTTCTCCAGATGATCATCACTTTCCAATCATCTAATTATATTTTATCAAAAAAACAAAGAAAAAATCAAACCTGTTTCAACCAGTTTTTTAATTTCACAACAATAATTATTAAAAAAAAAAACTTTTTTCCATACATAGAAAAATCGAAAAAAATTGACTTTTTAGGAAATTTTAGGGAAAACTAGCAAGAAAGTGAAAGAAAAATGTGTATAAACCAAGCATAAACATCAAGTACAGAAAGGAAAAGAGGCACAGAAAGAAAAACAATAACTGCCACTAGAGAAGCTAGAGGGCAAACTATACATGTGGTGTAAATTATTTTGTTGTTGACTCAATTCCCAAAATCCTCAAAAAGAATTATGTCATAACTCAATTAATTGCATCAAATAATTGTATCAATTGTGTCAAGGATCTATAAATTTCAGCAACATGTATAAGACAAACCCAAAAGCTTAAACAAGAGAAAATTGAAGAGAACACAGGTGCGAGCAACAAGTATTAATCTGGAAGAAAGAGAAATAGAAGTAAGTAAAGGGGAGAGATAGAAAAGCAAGACATAGAAATGTAAGAAGAGAAATCATCGAGATTAAACAAAGAGGGAACAGTAACAACAGGAACAGATATCAGAGAAGAAGAAATGTGAGAGTATAAAGAAAAGGCAAAAGAAAATCAAAGAGAGAAAGGCAGACTAAAAAATGTGGAAAAGAAACCAAGATACACATGTGAACTAGAATTACCTGTGGATAGAGAATCAACAAAAAGAACAGATACTATGAAAGAAGCATGTATTGCTTTCGAATCTTTCTTGGAAGTAAGAGTAGAAAGAGAAACTACAAGAGGAAAAAAAATCATTGCTAATTTTGAAAATCTCATTGACATACAAGAGGCATGTAAAATCAATTTTGGTATGAATAACAGCAGGGAGTACCTAGCCTCTACAGAACTGAAACAACACTAATCGGAAGAAAGAAACAAAGTAATTGTTAGAAATATCCCACTCTTAGCAAGCAAAGAAGCAATTGGAGCAACTCTGAAAAAAATTGGAGATATTCATACCATGGATATCCAGCCAGTAGAAATGTGGCAAACAGTAATAGTAACTTATATGAAAAAGAAGACTGCCCAATTATTGGCTGAAATGTGATCAATCCCATTTGAAAAAGAGTACCTGAAAATTCTTCCAAAATGCAAAAAAAAAGAGGAACTGGAAAAAAGATCAAAATACATGCTGAAATTGACAGGTTTGCTAGCAGGCATCATAGCTTATATCTAGAAGAAATAAAAAGAGAAACAAATGAAAAAAACCTATACATTCCAAGAACATGCTGATATTTTAGGAAAAGATTTGCATATGTGGCGTTTAAAACAGAGGACAAATTAAAAGCAGCCAAAACCCAAATCTTTAAATTGAATAAGATTATGATCAAATTTGAAGATCAATTTGAGAAACTGTATTACAAGTGTGGACAGAGTAGACATATTACCTTTCAGTATAAGAAGATAAAAGTGCAAAGAGACAAAGCACTAGCTCAAGCAAGATTCACATCAATCCAGTCAAGATTCGGGAAAGGACCAGAAAAGAAAGCTTTTATATTCTATGTAGAAATTTTGAGAAAGAGAAGCAGATCAAGATCAGTTTACAACAAAGAGAAAAGAGGAAAACAAGAAGAGATAAGAGAAAGATGGACAATTTAGAAGAAATAATTAAAAACATGAAAACAAAAATTAATGTACTATGGAATTGATAAAATGAGCTGCAGGAAAAGCAGGAGAATCTGCAAACCAATAATAAAAGTTCAGATAAGCAACAAATGCAATATCAAGATGTGGAAGAAGTGGTTATGGAAGAAGAAGAAACCTCTTTGGCAATATACAAGGCAATTAACAAGAAAGCAGCAAAAAGACAAGACAAGTTAGAAAGGCAAATGGAACAGATGGGAAAAATGCTAAACGAACTTTTGGAAGATGGTTGGCTATCACCTAGTAAAAAGAGACAACAATACAAAAGGCAGTAGAAAATACAATACCTAATAACAAATCCAAACAAGTATAACAAAATACTATAAGGATTAATATAATAACCCAAGAAATATCAACATATACAAAGAAAAAAGAACTAATATAGAAAACATTAAAATTATAACAATAAACATGAATGGCTTGAATAAAAAGTTTAAAAAACAGCAACTACAACATTACTATCACAAAAACAATATAAATATAATAGTGTTACACTTGATCTTTGTCCAAGATCATCACTACCCCTTGCCAAATTTTCACTAGCATTTACCCTTGAAATGTTACCCATTCTAGAATAATTCTTGTATTACTATTCTTGTTATTGTTTA